GACAGTGCGATTGGCACAGGACAGAGCAGAGTTTAGGGCTATTGTACATAGGGTCGCTACGAGTCGCAGGCGACTCGACGGCACATAACAACAATACTATTGGTGGTTTAGTGGTAAGGAGTTGCGCTGCCAAGTGAAAGGCACTCAGTTCAAATCCACCAGTTGCTCCGTGGAAGTTGGGCAATGTCCTCCCACGTGATCTACTGACTGAAAACGCACTGAAGGGTCAGCTCTGAGTCAGTGTTATTATTATGTGCTTGTTTGTGACACTGTTGGTCACCTCTATTGGACACTGCCTCTTCCTTCAATCACCTTAAAGTATTATCTATTTATTCCCCCCTTCCCCTTCTGTCCCTGGTAAATATGAAGAACGTGTTTTACGTATGTCAACCTTGTTGTAACAACAGACTCAAGACACTATTTTTCTCTTGTGACTGACTTACTGCCCTCAGCATAACGTCCTCCAGATTCATCCACGCTATATGGTGTTCCAGAAATTTTTCATTATTCTTTTGTTTTGCATGTGGTCCCACTCTGTGTATGTATCACAGTTTTCTCATCTCCGCGTTGATGGACATGTGATGGTTTCATCTGATAGTATAATGCTGCTGCAATGGACTATTTGTGTGCATCTATCTATTTGCGTTGTAGTTTTTATTTATTGAAGGCTTATAACCAGTAGTAGGGCTGCTGGATCGAATGTTACTTCTATATCCAACTTTTTAAGGAAGCATCAAACTGTGTAGCACAGTGCTGGCACCGTGTACAGTACCACCAACAGTGTAAGAGAATTCTGATCAATTCCTGGGATCTTGTCTTTTGCTCATGCGTTCAATGCAACTCAAACGCCTTCTTTCATTACCACGGGTTCTTGATTTGTTGAGATGCTTCCACGTCAGCCAGTTCTTTTTTGTACAGTGACTGTGTGTGCTCCTTTCAGCTTTTGATGTTCCCTGCACCACTCAAGACTTTGTCCACAAAATCCTTCAGTATTGAAACTTCAATTTGCATTGATTATATTCTCAAATACTGAGTATTTTCCATGGATTAATAATAATTTTAAATCTTTGTTATAAATCTAGGAGACTGGTCTTTTATAAATGAGATCTTTTTATAAAAGGTTATTTTATAAATGACAGATCTTTTTATAAATAATGGGTATTTTATAAATTTATTCTTAATCATATGATGATTTTAAAATTTGACAACCCCACCTTTTAAAATTTTGGTGTCAAGAGAATTTCTTGTGCAAGCCTGTTATTTAACAAGTTGTAGGTTTCTTCAGAAAATACCTTTTGCAAGTCTGAGGCGGTTATTACTACCTGAAAATTAGAGGACGTATCTAATCAATAACTGAACAGTGCTAAAGGGAACCTGGAAAATAGTTGTCCAGATAATCTGATTTCAGGAAATTCTTAAAAATTCTCTCCATCAAGGAGAGGAGCAAACGGGGAGGGGGGAGGGAGGTGGGCGAGTTGGGGAGAAGGGTGCAACAATG